TATATATATATATATATATATATTAATATGCATAGGGGGAATTGATATATGATACCGTTGGCTATACTTCTTTCTTTTGACGAGGGGGCCCTGTTAATAGGAGAGTAAAACAATAATAAATAATAATATATATTAAGACAGGGTCCGGGCTGCGTAGTAGTGTTGGGGTGTACAGACAGCAAACATTAAAAGGGGAGTCGCAGCAGCACTGCGCGGTTTGGTGCTGCAGCAAACAGTCGGCGGGTGTATACACACCCCACAGACAATAGTTTTTAAAATGCTAAAGAAAATAAATAAACTATATATGTATATATATGTAGTTATGCTTGATATATATATATATATATATAATATATATAATATACACTATATATATGTATGTATAATATTATAGGGCGCTGTTGCTCCCCGTCGCTGTTTTTGCTGTTGCTGCTGCTCCCTGTCGCAGCTGCTGCTGCTGCTCCCCGTCGCTGCTGCTGCTCCCCGTCGCTGCTTACTGTGGGGGCAACAAGATATCAATGGTGTAGAGACACCCCACAGCATATTCCGCCTGCGCCCTGTGCATGCAAAGCGTCTCCGCTGTTTGCTGCACTTGGCGCTGCATTAAAGAGCAGCGCGGTGGGTGCAGCAGCTCGCGGGGTGCTGCTCCCTGCATCAGCTGCAGCACCCCACACGCGCACGCAGCAGCAGCAGCAGAATGCATGCATGCAACGCCATAGGCAGCGCAGCAAAGGCAGCAGCAGTAGCAGTAGCAGCAAGGGTGTCTCCTCTAGCTACCTGGGATGCCTGCTGCAGCAGCAGCAGCGTAGGGAAGGCCTCCCTGATGGCCGTGTGGGGTCGACGATCCATCGATCCCCGGCATGGTAGCAGCAGTAAAATATAAAACAGAGCGTGCTGGAGCTGCAGCAACAAATAAAGCAGCAGCAGCAGCAGCAGCAGCAACGGCAACGTGTAGAAGAGAGTGCGCTGCAGGTGCAGCAGTAAGAAAAACAGCAGCACCAGCAAACATATAGGAGACGGCGGGCTACAGCTGCAGCAGCAACCAGAGAAGCAACAGCAGCAGCGTAATGTAGACGCAGCAGCAGCATGCTGCAGCAACAATAGATGCAGCAGCAGCAGCAACACAAACCACAGCAGCAAGAGCATAACGTAGGACGCAGCGTCCTGCAACTGCAGCAGCAGCAAGAACAGCAACAGCAGCAGCAGGAACAGCAGCAGCAGAAGCAGCACCCCCGCAGCTTAGCAGCAGTGACACACTGAGCTGTATTAATTATATATATAGGGAGAGACAAACAACAAAAAACAGAAAAGGCGACAGAAGTAGCAGCAGACAAAGAAAGGAAACGAAAACAGCAGCAGCAGCAGCAGCAGCAGCAGCAGCAGCAGCAAGCAACAGCAGCAGACAGAAAAGGAGACACCAGGAGCAGCAGGAGACAGACCCAAGTAGCACACAAGGAAAATGCTGTATAAACAAAAACAGAGACAGAGACAGAGTTGGAGACAGCTGCAGATACACCGCATCATCGCTTCTATGCATATGTAGTCCTTACAAACGATAAAGGAGACAGCACAAGGAGGCAGCAAAAGGAGACAGAGACAGAGACAGACGCAGCAAAAGGAGACACACTAAACACAGTAAGGAAACAAAACAACGCGTCTCCTTACTGCCTGGAGAGACAGCCGCTTCTGATCGTCTATAGTAGAGACACCTGAAACCTGCTGCAGCTGCTGCTGCTGGGGCTGCTGCTGCTGCTGCTGCTGCTTGTGCTGCTGCTGCTGCCGGCCGCGAAATATAAAAGAACCTCCGAGTGAATGCAGCACCTCGTAAGGAATCTCTGGGTTTGCTGCTGCACTGTCTCCTGCTGTTGCTGTTGCTGCTGCTGACGCTCTTGCTGCGGATGCTGCTACTGTGATGCGCAGCAACAGCAACAGGTGCTGCAGCAAGGAGCCACCCAGCAGCAGACCACCGACCCCACCCCCCAGCAGCGCAGCAGCAGCAAAATTCAGGGACAAGGCATTGTAAGCTGTTGCGGCAAGAGACACCAACTGCACAGGCTGCTGCTGCTGAGACTGCAGCAGCAGCTGCTGCTGCTGCAAGGTTCGTCGCGTACGGTGTATCTGCAGCAGCAACAAGCTGACAACAAAGCACACAAAGCAGCAACAGACTGATGCAGCAGCAGCAGCAACACGACCAACGGTAGCACTATCTCTTGCTTTCTGCTGCAGCTGTCTCCCTGTCTCTGTTCATCTGTTCATCTGCTGCTGCTGCTGCTGCTGCTGCCTCTGTCTGTCTCTGTATTCCTGCGTGTCTCTGTCCCCCACTATCCACCGCCCCATTCGGAGTGTCTCCTCACTCTCTCAGCAGCAAAGTCCACGAACCTTCAAGCCCCTGCTGTTGCTGTTGCTGTTGGTGTTGCTGTTGCTGCTGCTGCTGCTGCTGCTGTTGCTGGGGGCATTCCTCCAGCTGCAGCAACTGCAGCCTAGCGGCTGCCCCCAACAA